TAGAATTGGACATATCTGCTGCAAAAGACCTCTTTACAGTGTTAAAGAGCAGATATTTCACTTTGATGAATAAATTGTGTCTGACCTACGCTTTGGTATTTTCAGAGGCCTCATATGCATATGAAAGCTGGGCAGTGAATGAGGAAGATTGAAGAAGAATTGATGCATTTGAAATGTGGTGTTGGCAAAGCATACAAGAATAATGTGGACAGCCAAAAGTAACGAATCTGTCTTGGGAGAAATACAGCTGTAGTGCTCCTTAGAAGCCAGCATGGCCAGACTTCCTCTCATGTAGTCGTGTTGTCAGAGGAAGGATGGCCAGACGTCCTATCATGTTGTCATGTTGAAAAAGAATATTACTCTTGTAAGGTAGAGGGTCAGCAAAAAGGGGGAAGAGTCCTCAAAGAAATGGATTGACACCTTGGCTGAGATGATGGGCTCAAGCATAGCAAATATTGTAAGGATAGCACAGGGCCATACAATACTTTGTTCTGTTGTCCTTAGAGTCATTATGAGTCAAAGCCAACTAGACGGCACCCAGAACGAACAAGAGCAATGTCTTGTACACAGTGTTTTCATATTATGTTTCCAAAATGAATGAGTCACACAACTTAAGAGGAATATTTCAGTAAAGTAGTAACCTTTACAGTACTAAAAATGTGCTGCCTTGATAAGAGATGTCTTTATCAGCTCATGGACACTGCTTGTCTTCTTCCAACACCTTGGTGACTGAGTGAATCTGTTTCTCTTTGGGGCCAGTATCACATACTGAACTTATTTCGTAGTAACCAGGCTTCAGTGGTAGACAGTTATTTTCTCAAATAAGAAGTTTATAAGTAGAGAGATTGCTTATGTAGTAGTACATGAAAGACACCTGTGATATGTAGAAAACTACACATAATTTTGAATTCTAATCAAGTCTTTTTTTCTCATTTGTGTCTGATGTTTTAAATTCTACTGAGCTATTTTTTTTCCCATGAAGAATTGTATATAAGCCAAATGATTATTACTTTGTTGTGTTGTTGTTGTTTGGTGACATTGAGTCAGCTCTAACTCATAGTGACACCATATACAACAAAACAAAACACTACTCAGTTGTGTGTCATTCTTAAAATCCTTGCTCTATTTGAGCCCATCATTGCAGCAATGGGCTGCAACAATAATATGTATATAACATGAAATTATGTGTCAATCCATCTCATTGAGGGTCTTCCCCTTTTTCTCTGACCTTCCACTTTACCAAGCTCCTTCTGCAAGGAATGATCCCTTCTGACAACATGAGTGAAGTAGGTAAAAGGAAGCCTGGCCATTGCTGGTCCCAAGGATCATTGTGGTTGTACTTTTTCCAGGACAGATTGTTCCTGCTTCTGGCAGTCCACAGTATCTTCAGTATTCTTCACCAATACCACAATTTAAAAGCATCAGTTCTTCTTAGGTCTGCTTTCTTCATTGTTCAGCTTTCACATGCATAAGAGGTGATTGAAAATACCATGGCTCGGGTTAGGCGCACCTTAGTCATCAGAGTGACATCCACTTTAAAGAGGTTTTATTTTTTTATTATTCCAGTGCAATACAACCTCTGATTTCTTGACTGTTAATTCCATGCATGTTAGTTGTGGATCCAAGTAAAATTAAATCTTTGACAACTTCAATCTTTTCTCCATTTATTGTGATGCTTCTTGTTGGTCCAGCTGTTAGAATTTTGATTTTCTTTCTGTTGAAGTGTAATCCATACCATAATCAATACCATAGGATAGATTACGTAAATCAATGTCCATAAAATAAAGGAATACAGTATTATTCATGATGCTTATTTACATACAAAATGTGTGTATTCTGAAGCAGACTGAAACATCTTTCTCCCACAGAGAAGCTAGTGGGTTCAAACTTCTGACCTTTCTGTTGGCAGCAGAGTGCCTTAACCACTACACCAGTGTTCCTTCATTTTTGTTTTAAAATTTGTAGATCTAGAAGATTATACAAACAAACAAACAGCTATTACTAGACAGTGAAATTTGGGTTAGTTTTTCCTACCTTTAAACAAATATTTTTTCTGTGCATGTGTTTAAAGGGAGAGTGTTTTTTTGTGTGTGTGTGTGTGTAAGTGTGAATATAGTGTGTAGGTGTGTGCATGTTCAGAGTATATAATATGAAATTAAAACATAACGCTTATATAGAGAGTGGTGTATTAGAGATAATGAATGATGGTTGACTAGAGATAACTTAAGTAGTTTTTTGTTTTTTTTTTTAAATCAGGTACATCATTGGACATCAAAGTAGATAGAAAGAAACAATAATTGGAAAATATTTCCATTTATTATATAATCACTCTACCAGTATGAGATTACAGTAAACAATGCCATTATATCAGTCATTTATTCCTAAGAGACAAAATTATTAAACACCCAGGGACCATTCAGAGAAAGAGTTATATAATCTAGACCATCAGAAGACAACTTGGAAAGTTCATGCAGAGAGATTTGAGTAAAAGAAATGAGTCACTAGCTCTGGATCAAGTACCATTATTATTTGTTGTTTGTTATTTTAATTAAATTTTTATATTTCCTTTCCCTTTGCTTTTTTCTAAGATTGTTTTATAAAATGATAGGGGGATATGTCATTTGATATAAGCTTTTGCTTTAATTAAATACATTAACGTTCCTAGATAGCAGACTATACAACAAAATGCAAGTAGTTATAGGGGAGATGGCCAGAATTGTTATTACTATTATTATTATTATTATTATTACTAATCTCACTAACTTTCATGTACTTTAAAAATGTTCTTTCTTGTAAAGGAAAACATTTTTAAAGATATGTCCCCAGGACAGATATTAAAATGAATTTAGACCAAGATTTTATAGTTTGATCACTAGATCCTTATTCATGTGTCATAACTTTCATACAAAATTCTTTTATTTATTTTTTTTTTTTCATCTACCTTCATTCTACTTTTCTTAAATTCCCCCAGAGCAGAAGGTACACATGTGACATGATATATGATATAATTGGCTTTGGCCAAACCTAAGAGTGTGGCTTAGGTTTCAATTTGCATTCTAAGTTCCACAATTTCTTTTCAAGTAAAGGCAAGCAGATTCCAGAGGTACTGAAGAGAAATGGAAACATAGTATTATAACTTCTACAAATTGGGATGAGGAACACAAATCTGGCATGACTCTGAGGGTAAGGGAGTTGATTGGACATATGAAAATTATCATCATGTTCTACACATTTCATCTGTTTCTTTAGAGATCATTACTTCGTATAGACTTAGTGCAATGAGACCACCCAGGAATCTTTACTAGTTTTCTTGCTTCCCTGTGAACTGTGCTACCAGCACCCATATGATTAGTTTCAAAATGTTCTTCATAATATCCCCTGAGCACCAGAAATTTTCAGAGGGGAGCATGGTTAGCCCTGGCATGTTTCTTGGTCTTTTCACTTCAGCCTATTGCTCATGGAGATGCTGCTACCCTCTTTCTTACAAGCCACCAACTTCTCTGTTGCATCAGGTCCCGAATCACAGACTGTGCCCATCCCATTGGCAGTGGGTTCCAGTCTTGTTTATTGAATCTGAATAGGACCTGAAGAGTTAATGGGGTGATAAAAAAGGAGGTGTGTTTTATCTAAGAACCTGCTAGAGCTCTCTAAAAAAAAAAAAAAAAAAATGTTGTGCAGTCTATTCGACTCATAGCAACTCCTCCTTGGGTTTCCGAGGTGGTATCTCTATGGAAGTAGATTGTCCAATCTTCTTCCCAAGGAGTGGCTGGTAGGTTTGAACTGCCAGCCTTCTGGTTAGCACTCAAGTTCCTTAGGCACTATGCCACTAGAGCTCCCTAGCCATAGCTCTATCTGTTCCATAAACACTGATGATCTGGGGGAAAATAAAGGACTACATTCAATAGTTGAACTGCTCACTTTACTGTGATTCTCCATTACATGGTCTAACAACATAAAAGGGGAAAAAAAAATAACTTCTTAACAGAAGATTTGGATTATCTTGACCAACAAATTGTAAGAACAAAGACCTGAGCATTCCTTTTATCAATTTCTTAATCTATAAAACAAATACAAGAATTATCATAAATACTACATAAGTGTCTATGGAAATAACATGTTTGAATTTGGACAAAGTGTGTTTCAAACTCTATACAAAACCAGAGCAAATCAGTTGCCAGTGAGGCAACCTGACATAGTGACGTCAAGTGCTATGGAGCAGACCTTAGTTCTACAGCGTTTCTTGGCTGTCACTTTTATGGGAGAAGATTGTCAAGCTTTATTCCTACAGGCCAACCTTCAACTTAGTAGTCAAGCACTTAGCCTTTTGTGTTGCTCAACAAGCTTGAAAACTCCACACAAAGATATAAAAATGTAAAATGTATGATTATCAATATTATTTAATAGATTTGCATGTTGTTGTTGTTGTTGTTGTTATGTGCCATCGAGTCGGACCCTCCTCATAGTGACCCCTCCTTGGGTTTCCAAGGCGGTATCACTATGGAAGTAGATTGCCCAACCTTTCTTCCGAGGAGTGGCTGGTGGGTTTGAACCACCAGCCTTCTGGTTAGCAGTCAAATGCCTTA